GCAATGTATTCAGCTTCTGTAGTAGATAGGGCTACTGAATTTTATTTTCTATTGGACCAAGAGACTAAAGAATTTCCAATAAACTGATATGTTCCAGAAGTGCTCTTTCTATCCACCCTACAATCTGTAAAGTCAGAATCTGAATAACCAATTAATTCAAATGAAGAGCTAAACATAGGATACAAAATTCTTAAGTTCTGCGTTCCTAACAGATATTTAAGAATCATTTTTACTGCTATCAAATATTATTCTTTTGGATCTGATTGAAATCTAGCACACAAACAAACACTAAACATGATATCGGGCTGACTAGCTGTCAAGTAAAGTAAAGATTCAATTATTCCTCTAAATTTCTTTTGATCAATAGATTTTCTCTTAGGGTCCTTATCCAACTGAATTGAGGAACTCATAAGTGTACTAACAGGTTTAGCATTATCCATTTCATACTTTTTGAGGATGTCCTTAACATACTTTGACTGACTAATAAATGTACCTTACTCAATTTTCTTAATGCTAAATCCTAGAAAGTAACTTAAATCTCCCATTAGCCTCATCTCAAATTCACTATTCATTATTTTAGAAAAATCATCACAAAGATTTTTATTTGAAGATCCAAAGATGATATCATCCACATAAATTTGTACAATGAGTATATCCTTTCAAACTTTCTTCAAAAAGAGAGTTGTATCCACACTTCCTTTTTCAAATGATCTTTCAAGTAAGAAGGTGCTCAACCTCTCATACCAAGCCCTAGGTTTCTGTTTCAATCCATATAATGCATTTTTCAATTTAAAAATATGATTTGGGTATTTAAAATTTTTAAAACCTGGTGGTTGTTCTACAAAAATATCTTCTTGAATTACCTCATTTAAAAAGGTATTTTTTACATCAATTTGATATAATTTAAATCCTCTAAAACAGGCAAAGGCTAGAAAAACCCTAATTTCTTCAAGTCTAGCTACAGGGGCAAAAGTCTCCTCAAAATCAATCCATTCAATCTGATTATACCCCTTAGAAACTAATCTAGCCTTATTTCTAATGACTACTCTTAAGTAATTCATTTTATTTTTGAATACCCACTTAGTTCCAACTACACTTTGATTCTTTGGCCTTGTAGTTAATTCCCAAACTTTATTTCTTATAAATTGATTTAACTCTTCTTGTATGGCCAAAATTCAAAATTCATCTGAAAGTACTTGATCAATATTAGTGGGTTCTATTATTGAAATGAAGGTTGAATGATTGACTTCTTTGTTTAATCCACACCTAGTCCTTACAACCTCACTAGGTTAACCAATTATCAACTCCTTTGGGTGGTTTTTATAAAATTTCAAATCTCTAGGCAAAGGGTTTTCTATCTCCAAATTTTCTTTCATATTTTTTTTCAAAATTTCATCCAAATTTATTTTATCAATCTTTTGGAAGTTATCCTCAATCTCATTTTCTACAATATTTGGCTCTTTCAAATTTTTATATTCATCAAATACAACATATATGGTCTCCTCAATTACTAAAGTTCTTCTATTGAATACTCTATAAGATTTTCCAACACTTGAGTATCCAATGAAAATTCCTTCATCTGATTTTGGATTAAATTTTTTTAAGGCAGATTTTTCATTGTTATGTATAAACACCTTGCAATCAAAAGTATGAAAATGAGACAAATTAGGTGTTCTTCCTTTTAGCAACTCATAGAATATTTTATTTAATTTAGATCTCACATTCACCCTACTCAGAACATAACATGCAGTGATAACCGCCTCAGCCCAAAAGTATTTAGGAAGTGAGTATTCTGTCAACATTGCTCAGGTGGCTTCTATTAATATTTTATTTTTCCTTTCGACTACCCCATTTTGCTGAGGGGTTCTAGGTGCAGAAAAATTGTGATCAATTGTTTTCTCCTTACAAAAATCCTCAAATCTTTCATTTTCAAATTCTCCTCCATGATCATTTTGTATAGTCATGATTTCACACCCAAGTTTTCTTTGAATCCAAGTCAAAAAATTTCTAAATTTCTCAAATGATTCACTCTTATGAAATAGAAATCTAACTCATGTGAATCTTGAGTAATCATCCACAATCACAAATTCGTATACCTTCCCTCATAGACTTATAGTTCCAACTGGTCCAAAAAGATCCATATACAAAATCTTCAATGGTATACTAGTTCTAAGATCCTTATTGGATTGAAAAGAGGACTTCATTTGCTTTCCTAATTGACATGCATCACAAAGGTGGTCCTTAGTAAAGTCTAGTTTTGGTATACCTCTCACTAAGTTCTTTTGGGTAATTTTCCTAAGGTTTTTCATGTTAGAATGACAAAATCTCCTATGCCAAAGCTATGACTCATCAGAAATAGTTTTTAAATAAAAAATATTAAGAGTTTGAATGCAATTCAAATCTAGTATATAAACATTATTTACCCTTTTACCATTTAAAATATCATTTTATTTAGGCTTAAAATGCAGCTAGCAGGAAAAATTTTTACACAATATCTTTTGTCACATAGCTGACTTATACTTAACAAATTATACTTTAAGCCTTCTACCAATAACATATTTTGAATATAAAAATTCTTTAGATTTCTAATCATACCTGTCCCAATCACCTTCCTTGTGGTGTTATCTCCAAGTGTAATCTTGCCTCCACTTCTAACTTTAAGCGATATGAATTGTGCAGTATCTCCAGTCATATGCTTTGAACATCCACTGTCTAGGTACCATATTCTCTCACGAGGTCTTATGTAAGAGAAACCCTGCAAAATTATCAAATATTAAACCTGGGAACCCAAACAAGTTTGGGTTCTCAGATTTTCACACAAAATAAATTTTCTTCTTTAAAGTACAGGTGTGAGCTATGTGTCCAATCAATCCACAATTGTTACATTTGATTTTTCAAAAAGGATTCCTAAGTCTACTAGTATTCATTTGTCTATTTAGAGATTGCATAAATTTATGATATAAAATAGGATTAGTTAAATCTTCAAATTTAGGGGGTATCCTATTATTCTCGAGAGCTTTTATTGTTAAATTGTAAAATGAATTAATATCTTTCAAAATTTAATTTGTATAATTTGATCTATAAATCTTGCTCTCCGATTCATCCTTAAAATTTTTAAAATCTTTTTTAAGTTCTACATAGGATGATTCTAAATTTTCATTATTTTTATTCAAGTTATCAAACTCATCAAGTAATTTCATGTGGTTGTCATCAATTAAATCATGATCTTTCTTAAGGATTTCATGATTTTTTTGTAGTTCTTCAAATTCTAAATTTAGACTAGCATGCATTTTCTTCATTTTTCTATATGCATCATGCATGTGTTCAGAAACTTCAAAAAGTTCATCATAACTTAAGTCACATACCTCTTCTTGATCTGACTAATCAAGACTATAGGCCATTAAGCACAGATTAGTGACTTCCTATTCCTTTTTTATCTCTGACGAGTCCAAAGCTGAGTCAGCCCAAAAAGCTCTTTAAAATTTTTTTTTGCCCTTCTTCACAAAAGGTTTCTCCTCTACCTTCTCCTTGCTAGGAGTGGCTTTTAGTTTTGGGCAATATGTCTTTATATGTCCAGATTTCCTACACTCATAACAAATAACATCATTCGAAACCTTTGCATTTCTATTAAATTTACCTCTACTCCATTGCTGGCGTCTCTTCTGCTTCGTCTTCAGAAAGCTTCTGAATTGTTTAGTCATTAATGCGATGTCATCTTCATCCTCAGGTTGTGAGTGTTCACTCTAAAACTCCTCCACTTTCAATGCTATGTTCTTCTCCCTTCGTGGTTCGCCTACATCAATCTTTCTTTGGCTAACTCCTTCTCGTAAGCAATTAGCGAACCAAGAAGATTGTTAATAGAGTTAATGTTTAGACCTTTAGACTATATAATTATAGTAATTTTATCTTCATAAGCAGTAGGAAAATAATGAAGAATCTTATTAACCATTTCAGCATTCGTTAGTTCCCTACCTAATGCATGTAAAGAGGTGACTATTTGTGTGAATCTTGTATACATATAAAATATGGATTCATTAGGTTTCATGAGAAACAGTTCATAAACATGCAACAAGATATTAAGTCTAGATTGCTTAATTTCATTAGTCCCCTCGTATGTTATACAAAGTCTATCCCATATATCCTTTCCACTCTTGCAAGTAGAAACCTAAATGTAATCTTCTGATTTAAGTGCACAAAAGAAACTATTCAAGCATTTGATGTTTAGTTGTGCTAAGTCACGTTCATCTACTATCTAGTCCACAAAAGGTATTTTAACTCTAACTCCGTCAACTAGTCTAGTTGGTTTTGTATATCCTTCCTGAACTAAAATCCACATACGATAATCAAGTGATTGTAAAAATATAGATATGCGTGTAGATGTGGAACCTTTCTCTCAAGTTATGCTGCAGGAGTATCACACCTAGAGCTTTATCCCTTTTATCGTTTACTGCATATTCCCACTACTTATACTACTAAATATGGTACTATAGGACACTCACACTTTTTCATTTGGTTAGCACTCTTTTAGTTATGCTTCCCCTTCGTATATGAGACGGGTTGAAGCTTCAGGAAGATAGTTTTTGCTGATATACTAATATATCCACTTTATAGTGTTTACTGTTTCATTGTTCTTGCTAGTTCTCTGTTTCTTACATGTTAGTTACTACCACTGCACGATTGGTATCAGAGCAAAGGTCGGGGCAGCAATGGCGGAGAGCAGTAGACGACCCGCTCTTGACAGCGATCAAGGCGAAGGCGCTCTGTGGGCGAATCAGTCCCTGATTCTTAAACAGATGGAAGAACTCAAGAATGAGTTTCGTCGATTCACCACAGAAGTGCGATTGGAGTTTCAAAGTATCAAGGGCGGAGGCGGAAATGTTCAACTTCCACAACCACCTACTTCTCCAATCTTCAGAGCAG